CTGAGTAAGCTCACCAAAGTGGCTGTAGAGAGAGTAAGGAAAGGTGTAAGAACTTATGTGACAAAAGAAGCCCACGTTAAACCTAAATCTCAGTTCTAAATCCAGAGCAATCTTGCTGGGCAGGATAATAGGATTATTTCTTATCCTGTTGGCCTTGATTTTCCACTCACTTCTGCTGCTATAAACAAGGAGTAATTCAGCTAAGTTAATGAAATTATGTCAGTGTAAGTCTGGTGTACAGAGCTTATTGAAGGCAATGGAACTTTTAGTGTGAACATGAGTAAAAGCAGGAAAAAGGCTTAAAGCTATCCCCCATTTTGCACATTATTTATATAGCAGAATTAATCAGTAGTAATATCTCAGTGCTATTGGAACAATGCAGACGCATTGAAAAAAGTGGAAGTGGTGCAGTTATTTTTGGTCTTGTGCCATTGGGCGCAGTCCATTTCTGCGGCCGTGAGCTGGTTCCCCATGAAACCACAATGAGAGGGTGTTCGATTGGCCTTGCTGTCAGGAGCTGGGGTGGAGTTTGAAGTAGCTGACAAGTGCATTAGAAAAAATAAATAAAACTGGAATGCTTGGGAAGTTAACTCAGTCGGAGCTAGAAAATCATTCGGGCTGCTGTAAGAAGGAATATTTGAGAAAATGATTCAGTAGGAAAATGCTTGGATTGGCTAGGAATCCCCAACGCTGAGCACATTTTCCTACATTTTTGTAATTATATTATTTCCAGCTACTGTGGGACAAATGACAAACAACACCTGGCCACAAAAGCTTTCCAGAATGATGGAAAAATCACTATAGCAGCAATTAAAATGCTTACAGCTGAAGAATAAAACAGCATGCAGCAACTGAGGGAAACAGAGCACACCGCACTGAACAGAATTTTCCCCAATTTTAAATAAAAAGTGCCAGTCTCAGTGGTGTGGACTGGAGTAACTGCTTTCTTAGGGAGTTCCTGTAGACCTATCCTGACCCAGCAAAGTCAGCAGCGTTTTTGTCTCAATTGTTGGCTGGACCTGGATAAAGCATCATGTCTCCACAATTCCTCTGATAAAAAAAAGAAAAAACAATAGAAAAAATTACATTTCAATAAATATTTCACCATTTTTGACAAAACATCTTTAGATTTATACAGCTGGAAATATATTTGTTTGTTTTCACTTTTAGTTCTTCACCCCCTGCCTTTTTCTTGATCTTGGGCTAAATGGGAAATGATAATAGGGCAGTGAAAATTGTTTCCAGTTTGTCCTCTGAACACCTTATGTATATGTTTTATTTATAGGTTTGCCCAGATAACTCTTGAATAAAACTAAAGACACTACACTTGTCCCTGTGCACATATATAACTCAAGACCCAACACATATGAAGAAACATGGGTGGATATTTACTACTTAAGCCATATGATTTTTTCTTGGTTTACACGGAACCGTTTAAAAGATCTGTTCAATAGCTGAGGTGTATACACCAGTAGAATGATTACCTTTAAACTTTTGAAACCATATTTCAGCAACAATTTCCTTGTCTACAACTTTACAAGGCTGTAAATAGCCCCTGTGTGCATAATGAATTCTGACATCATAGGCCAGGGCTCTTACACACAGCAGGTTTTCCAGAACTTTTATTAGCAAGTTACACCTTGAGGCGAAACTAAACCCCCCAACTTTCTATTATAAATGTTACTATAAAATGTTCCTTTGAGTTTTCCTAGCGCGCAGAGTTCCTCCTTTCTTCCCGTTCCAAGTCATTCTTTCTGTAGAGTATACGAATTTGATACAGTCAGATTACACGGAAAGTGTGTTTTGTTGCAGACATATTGGATATTAGGTATTGTTACAAGGCATTTTTTATGGCTAGGCTTGCAGGACCAACATAACAAGGTGATAAAGAACAAGGTTTCTTGCTCTTGCAACACTGTACCGGTGACTCTTGCCATTCCTACGTGTTGATTTTATTTATCCAAGAGTAATGAAGCTCCAGGATGTTATCATCGAGGACTGGGAGGACAAGGAGTCAAAAAGACCTTTCTAAAGATACAGGCAGAGATAGACTTGCAATGAAACTGTTCCTCTCTGTGTTTCTTTTTGCCTACTGTTGCTGCCAGCCCACCTCACAGTGCTGCTCCAGGTTCTTACATAAAACAGTACAAAAATGATGCAGCTGCATTCTCTCTCCGCTGCATTCCTGCAGTGTGCAGTACAGCAAGCCCAGCCTTTGAGAAATACACAAATATTGAGCTGGATAAAACAATGTGTTTACATGTGGTTGGCTTCCAATCACTAGTGCAGTTCCTGGCAGACAGAAGTGAGAGCAAAAGGAGAAAACAAAAGGATGTTGTCAAGCCCTCTGCATTGCCAGTGGGCAAGTCGCTTCAGTACAGATTTCCAGACTGTAGACTAGCTAAGGTGATGGGGATGCTTGTATTAGTCAAGCAATGCATATGTTAGTTTCTAATCAAAGACTTTATGTGTTTTCTAAAGTAGACTAGGTGAAAAAGGAAAAGGGTAGCACATGCTTGCCATGTAAGCTCTCCTCACAACTCGGAACAAAGGACACTTTACTGTCTACTAGAATAAGAAACCTAGTCAGGGTGAACAATGTTGTTCCTTTTTTTTTGCCTGATAAGGTATTTACACAGACAGCTGCTTACTAAATGTACAATATAAGGTATTGTCAAGAAGCCTTGTAGAAAAACTTTTCTTCTGTTTTTAACACTTTTTCTTTCATTTCCAGTCTGTATATACTTCTATGTTTCTGAGTCTCCCTTGTCTGAATTTCCCTATCCCGTGCTGAGAGTGTGTATTTTAAGGCAAAAGGGCTTGATTTGCACACTCCCTTTGTGCCTTTGGGATAAAAAGCTGTGGACAATGTGGAACCACTTTCTTTTTGGACTCTATCTTACCCAAGTCTGTGGAAAAGCAGAACTCTTGGACGAGAGGATTGAGACAAGCGTATGCAGCCCCAGGTCTCAGCGCTAGTGACCGGGCGCCAATGGGGCAGCCAAATTCACTGTGAATCTGTCAGGAAATGTTTTTTCTAGCAAGCTGATACTCTTCTCCTTTTACAGACTCATCAAGTGAACATCAAAAATGATGAGAGAGTTTTGTTTGGCCCTTTTCCTACGGCAACAAAGCATCTTCCCAGTGTTGCCCCTCCGCCTCCCCAGCATACTGTAAGTTTCATTGTTGTTGAATAGGTTATCTAGAGGTCACTAGGCTAACAGGTTACTTGAATTTCCTAAAATTGTGCCTGTCCTTAAAAGTAGCAAATCAGATTGTTTACATACCACTCCATGAACCTGGACTGCACACTAAAAACTGCACACAATGCTGCTATTTCTGCTTCTCCTCTCCCTTCCCCCTTGATGTAGGTATTGCAGCTTTCTGTGGGGGCTCATTAAGGTTCATAAAACACAGTAAAGAAGCTGGCTGGAGACACTCGTAATTCTACAGGTTCCCCAGGTCCACCATGTGGGACATTCAATAAAAGTGCAGAGTTAGAAAGAGATGTCCTCAATAAAAGTCTTAATTGAAAGCAGCCCTGATGGTCAAAATGGTATCGAGAGGAAGGAACTACAGTGACACTCAGGTTTGACTTTGTTTCCTCTGACACTGATTTCCTGAATGGCTTTGAGCGAGGCACTTAATTTCTTCAGGGCTCCATTTCCTACCCATAAAATAGGTTTAATAAGATTGCTTGTCATTTATTTTCCATCTTACCTATTTGGACTATGAGTGCCCTGCACAGAGCCTTCCTTAACTAGCTGTCACTACTCATTCGGTTGGTTGTTTAAGGTGCTACCTTTACACCATCAGAAACCAAGCAATATTTCTGTCCTCTTCTGCTACCCTGTGGCTTTATTATCAAGTGCAGGAAGCGCAGGAGCAGGTGGTACGTAACACTCTTCTTCCTAGACCTGCAAAAGAGCCCCTGTCAGAGCTCACTTATGAGGCTCAATTAAGAACTCCTTTACCCCTCTCATCCCCCGTGTATTCTCACTGAAAGAAAATCACTGGTTTCACAGTTTTTTCCCTTCCATAGTTTCTCAATAAAAATATACCCTTGAAAGATTGGCCCGATTCATATTCTAATCTGGAAACTTTCCACTAATGTCAATGGCTTTGGAATGAGTACTAGAAACAAGAAAGAACCTACTCCCCAAAATAATTTTTAACTTCTAAAATTGTAATAACCATAAAAAAGCCATAGTTACAGGGAGTGACATTTCTATGGCTTTGTGCTCTTCTTAAATTCAATATTCAAACTCAATCTTAACTTTGGCTCCTCTTTCATCTTGAAAGTACAGCATAGCCTGAGCACATAATATTCCTAATATGTCTTCTTGCCCATTTGTGCCATAAGGATAACATCAGAAATCTCACGTTACAAATTCACTTGCAGATTTTGACCCATTTATGTAAGAAAGACTCTGTGTGTGCCTGGGGAAATTTCAGGGCAGAAAAGTCATGAGGGTTTTGTTTTGGAGATGCTGAAAAATCACAGGGATTTTCATAACTTTTCTGTTTCCATCAAAGGTATAGAAAATTAAGAAACTCTTGCTGAAATACTGGGAAATGTATGATTACTTGAACTTATGAGATTCCTATTTTTCTGTCTTTTTGTCATTGCTTCATGCTCTTTCCCTCTTCCTGTGCTTGCCTGGAACAAAGCTAGGAACTATCCAGGATCACTGTGGTGATCACTGGGTATTGCAAGGAATTCATGTACATACAGAAGAATTACATAGTATAGCAAAAGCCATTTCCATAGCTGATACCCATTAGAACCCTTTTAATTATTCCTGTTTCAGAACGGTGCATGAAAGACACTATGACATTGAAAACTACACTATGGACAAAGGAAAGAGCATCAATTCCAAACCACGTTTGTATAAACGAGGGAAACTACCTAAATGACCAACATCTGACTGCTGTATTGAAGAGATTGGCCTGAGGGAACATAAAGCTAGGAGGGGTGGATACAAAGGGCTCAGGAGACTAAGCAGCACAGCTCTTTCCAATGCACTGCTGATTAAGGCAGCTAGAAGAGTGAGGGTTTTGGGACCCGTAGATTTTCTCTGGTTTGCAAGCAGAGGGGTTGCTATAGCCCTTGTGTGAGGCATTTAGTGCTATCAAGTGGTGGGTAAATAGATGCTGTATGAGTTGTAGTCATTTCCACTGGGTAATCCACAAATAGTGAAAGGAAAGGAATTGCCTTCTGTAGCGGGAAATGATGCGTTGGATGTCTGAGCTTGGCTGCTGTTTAGATTTGGCAGTGCATAGGCTAGTTCTTGGAAGCAGTAGAGTTAAAGTGGAGTGATTCTTTTTCAGTGTACTGCTGTTTAAATGTAGTTAAAGCAGAGGGTGTGGGTAAGGCAAGCTGCGATCTTATATGTAAGCCTCTGAGGGATTTAGTGCAGCAGAGGAGGAGAAAGTGTCATGACTGTACAGTCCAAAAGGCTGAGATAAGAGGGGCTGTTGGTGATCTCATACTGTTTTTTAAGGGCACAGAAATAGTCCTCAGACTGTTTCTCCTGTTGTCCAGGGTACTAGAACAGTTGCTTAAGCCAAACAGAAAGCCAGGCAGGTGCCAGAGGGAAAGTGTAGATGAGCAAAGGGTCCTCATGGAGTTGTTCTATATCTGTTGGCAGTGAACCAGGGCTTTGAGAAAGAAGAAACAGAAGACGAAGGCAAAATGAAAACAAAGCAGGGGAGGAGCATTTCTAGACCAAAGAAGGCTGAACTAGGTTTGAAAGGGCAATGATGAGAATCCACAGGTAAGTGAGTATCCTGCCACCAGTGGAGGGGAGAATGGGGAGATATTAGAAGGCCTGTAGAGAAATAGGACTGAGACTAACATTGTGGTGAGCTGAGAATTTGGGATATCTCTAGCCCTGAGAAAAGGACAATAAAAAAGAGTTCAAAGTCTTAGATCACAGCCAAGGCTATGATATAACAAGTCCCACAAAGACCTGGCTGATAGATCGCGTGACTGCTACGTCAGAATAACATCTCTTGGAAGAGAGACAGGAAAAGAGCAGGAAAGAATTGCTCTGGATGCCAAGAATACACATACTGTCTACAGAGTAAAATGATGAACAGCAAGTTATTGAATGCTTCTGGGTAGTAAAAGAAAAGATACAGAAGTCTCCTGGAGGTCACATAATAGAGTGTAGGAGGTAAAGCAGAATCTTGTTTTGAGTAGCTACCAGGAGGATTTAAAAGGCAGGCCATGGAGGAATTTCAATAAAATATGAGGACAAAATTAATCAAAATCTTGGAATGTGCTGAGAATGCTTAACTGTGTAAGAATGTGGAGAAAGCTGTAAAAAGATGCTATTATATTTCTGGCTGTTATTGCTTGGAGGAACTGACAAAGCATCTGAAGTGCTGAGGTAGTTTATGTGAAGAGGGTGACATAGTGTTTTGAAAAGGGTACTGGTAGAGTACCTGACCTCTGAGGATAGGACAATAGACTTGAAAAAAGAAACCTTCAACAGAGTAGGTGGACTGTTTTGAGATCTAGTGTCTAAATCAAAGAAGGCAATGGAAGAGTTAACTCATTTGGTCCCTATCTTCTGTGATCGTTTTCAGTTCTGAGTCTCTCCATTTTCTTTGTATGTTCCCAGTTCTGTGTACAACTGCATGATTTATGTTTTTGAGGTTTTTAGCATTTCCCATATAAATAAGATATAAGCATTAAAGGTAAAACAAAGAACTGTACAAATAACCTTCACAAATACATTCTCTTACTTAGAAAGGGGGGAAAAAAAGGTAAGGCAGCATTTCCTCGTGCTTACAAGCCCACCCTGAATAATTAATTTTGTTCTGCTTCACGCTGTCAGCCCTCTAAAGTGACTTCAAAAGATCTTCCAGTCTGTCACTGCTGGTGTGCTCTGTGGGAGTGGAGAACAGGAGTATCCAGGTGTGTCCTGGTGTTATCTTAAAAGGTACCTGCAGGCTGCAGTGTTGCCTTGATTATCTGCACACCTCTACAAACACGTTGCTTGTTTTTTCTTAATGGGTGTGCCAATAGAGCAAGGAGTTCAGCAAATGGTTAAATTAAAACTAAGTAGACTAGTAGTTACACACTTCAGTCGGTGTTTTTCAAGCTAATGGGGGAAGAAGATTTTTTTTTTTTTTCTTGCCAGATATAATAGTGTGTTTGCTAATATGATAAAGGCTTAAAAGTCACAAGGTGTGTAAAGGCTGGTGACATTTCTATTGGAAAGCAAACCCCTTTTGGCTTAAATTCTTTTCCTACGAGCATCTAAAAAATTCTTTTGATTGAAAAGGTGTTCATTTTTGTCTAGGAATGCTGGAGAAATGATATCAAATTCTCTAATACTTTGATTTGTCAGGATATATAGTGCCTAAAGAACAGAATGAGGGCCAAGTGTCTTCTACGGGAATAGGTCCTCCTTTTGTAAGGGTGAATAGTGGAAAAGACTGAGCCTCCTGGTCTGTGTGGAAAATGGTTAACACGTCCAGAGATGGTTGCTGAAGAACAAGAAAGATTGAGTATCCCAGCAAAAAGCAATTTGATGGATTAGTCTTTTGGGAAGTGGGAAGAAAAGAAGGTCCTTTTAAGTGATGGGTGGGTGTGGGTTTTTGTTCTCCTCATGATCTTTGATGGCAGTGTGACTCTGCCTGGTGAGAGTACTGCCTTTGCTGGGTCAGATTTAGAAATCACGGCATCAGAAGATGGGGCACCTTCAGTGGATTATGATATCTAGATGATAGATATCTAGAAGGCAGCTGAACAAGACAAAATGATTCTTCACTAGTATATTTTGTCCCCTATTACTGCTGTCATGATGAATTTGCCAGCTGAAAACTGGTTCCTTCTGTGAGGCTACAGATAATTTGTGTCTGGAAAGACTGTGGAAGTGTATGTTGAAGTAATGTGCCTGCAGGCCTTAGATGAGGCCAGGTTTAGGGTTTATGACATATATTGAGGGATTGTGGGCTAACAGAATTTATGAAGCTGGATGGACCAAGAATGCTCTCTCAGTCCTGAGTGACATTGTGGCTTGACTGTCAGACCTGGGGATGCAGGTGTAGATGTGGCAACAAAATCAGGGGGTCCAGAAACCCCACCATGGTCTGCTAGGCAGATGCATAGGTATCTGCCTAGCAGGCATGCCCTACTCAGTTGTGGTGAGACCTCTCAGAATGGCGCTATAAAACTTTATTTTTCTGGGATGGAACAAACCACCTGGATTCTATCAGCTTTATCAAATATCCTTTAGGTTATTAGAAAAACAATTAAAAGGTGTCCCCTTTCCACCTTATGGTATTCAAGGTTCTATTGATTTCTGATTATGAGGTGAATTTTCTCACTCTCTTTCCCTGTGAAAGATGTTAACTCTAAGCTTAGGATAACTGCTACAGAGCAGTGCTTCAAATGTGAGATCTTTGAACCATATCCTGCAGATTGCTCCCTGCCAAATCAATTTGAACTAGTTTTTCTTTTTTTTTCCTGAAGTCTTGTGTTTTCCAGGTCAATTTGTAAAATTGTATATTCCACAATGCTATTTTTCTTCCTGGCCATAGCACACATCTTCTCCAGAGCCCTCAACATGTGTGAAGGAAGGAAAAAATCATCACCTGCAAGCTTACAGATGAACTGTCTCCCTAGGCTATATGTTCTTATTCAAAGGGGCTTCCTGGTGGATGCAAATACAGTTAAGAGCTGTATTTGCATGTTGCAGATGTTAACTTTCTGTTAAAACAATACAACCAGTCATGTGTTTTGCATTTGTCTTGACATAAAAGTGCACAGGGATAGATATATTCACCTACATCTGAACAGTTCCAGGCACAGTCTACAGCCCCTTCCGTGACTGGTTGCATAGGTCAGTGTCTCCAGACCTAAAACACTTAGAAAACATCTGAACCCATATTTGGGAATCTGGATTGATGGCCAACAACTTTTTGGAAGGATGTAAAGCAAATGCGACTGCCACCAAAACAGGTGCCAGTTTTGAGTTCTCAGCTCTGACAGGGATAAATGCCTGTTTTTATTTCCTCTACAGTCCTCTGCATCTCATTGTCTTGATCCACAAACTCTGAAAGGAAACTCTGCAACATGGAAAATACTGAATGTCTGATCCAAAGCACATTGAAATACACAAAAATCACTATGATGGGCTTTGGATCAGGTCCTGAGTAAACTAATTCTTGGATCGTCACCTCTGGTCATAATAGCCCTTTGTTCTGCCTTTTTAATGACTAATGATTGTTATAAAAAGCCTTATGTAATTTCTGGCATGGTTAGACATCATATATGAGAGGTGTATAATCTTAGAAATGCTCTAGCTAGTTTCTTGGGTTGTGTAACAAATAATTATGGAATCTTGCTGAGCCTCACTTTATTATTATACAGCTCCAGGCTCTTACCCCCAGTGGCTTTACAAGCTTGTTAATATTTAAGCTATCTTGTAGCTTGGGTAAATTGTAATGACTTTTTTGTTACTGAAGCTAATATTAAACAAAAGAAGTTGTTGGGGGAAAGGGGAAAAGGTATGATGGATGTTATATTCTCCTGAAGGTGCTTTTCCTTGCTTTAATAGCTTTTGGCTGATTCACAAGTACAAATGAAATAGGAATCTCTTCCAAAGCCTTCCTTCTGTGCCTCTCTGGATAAGCAGAAAGACAGCCTTGCTCTTCACAGCGGATAGGGTAATGGTGGGCATGCAGGCTTGCCCTGAAGAATAATTTCGTACAAAATCCAAGTGACTTAGAGATGTTTTTTGGTGAATAAGACTAAAATCTAGCCAAAACCTATTAAAATCAGGAAGTCTTCTGACTACAGAAAGTAGCCAGGCCTGCAGAAATGGACAAAATAATTCAGCCACTCTTTGTTATAAAACAAGGTGGACAAGATAGCTCTTGTTCCTGCTGCCTCTGTCCAGTCCTGTTATGCCATGAAAACTTTCTCTGCCTGCTCCAATTAAAAAAACAACAAAACAGTTACTTAAGATATCTATAGCTGCTATTTAGGGTCAGAAGAACAGATCTGTGGTTTAATTAATATCCAATTTGTGTATAATTAGATTTGGTCTTTGACTGGGCTGGTGCTTCCGCTGCCTGCTCAGGTGGTAGACAAGGCTTCAGGAATGGTATATGCAACTATAGATGTCCCCGGTGTGGTGGTGGGTTGGATGATTGCCTATAGGGTTTTCAAGCATGACTAACTTCATCTGGCTTCCACAAGCTTTTAGTCTTCAAAGGGAACTCACATGGTGTGTTGCAAGATCTATAAAATCTCATGTAGTATAAAGATGAAGGGACAGAGCCACACACCTAGTACTGATGGCATACGTAGGTCCAAGATGACCTGCCAAAGCTGGGTGGGGTGTGCCTGGATTTTTCATGTAGAGCAGCTCAAACTTTAAAGGAAAAAAAAAGCAGCAGCAGGTGGGGCTCTGAAACAGCAATTACCACAGGAGAGAGGCTTTGATTTTTCTAATGAAAACTAAAGGTCTGTAGTTAGTTGTAGCTAGAAAAACAAAAACCAAAAAACAAACAAACAAAAACAATAGCACCAAGTAAATATTATTTATTGATGGCTATTATTGCATCATATGTACTTGGATTGTATGGATCCATGGTATACCCAGCTCTCAAATGTGGTTCCAGGCCTCCCAACCCCGTGCAGTTGCCACCACTTCTGCATCTGAAAGTGCCATAGTAAAGGTAGAGTTTCACAAATATGGTCAAGATAAGGAATGAGTGTACTGTGACTCTTCAAGGGATGCCTCAGAAAGGGAATGTGATAGAGGTCTCTTGTGAGAGGAGAAAAGTGCTTAGAAAAATGGTTGCTAATTTCTCTCAGCTGACTGTTGTTTATCCTGAGCTTTGTTATGTGGCACATTCAGTGTGATGAAGCAGAAGATGCTTCATTATAAGACAAGACTACCTGTGGATTTGAACTGAAAAAAAAAATGGTATGGGCTCAAAGTGATGGGATATTCCTGAAGGAAAAGTTCTTCAAGGGCTAGGGAATGCAAGGGTCCTGTTTTGACTTATGTTTATTGTAAGCTTCATGTAGGCTTAGGAAATGCTTTGGGAATGTTAACCTGCTGTTGTACATTCTTTAACCTAAGGAGCATAGCTGCCTCAGATGGGAGTCTGGCCTAAATAAACCCTTGCTTTGATATAAGATAGGTCTTTAAAATTGGATGTGTCTGAAGGGATTTGGTAATTGCATGGATTCCTATGAAAAGATGTACAACTCTTCTCAACAACTCTTCTCACAATCCAGTTTGGTGTTTCCTGTAGTGTTTTATTACCAGTTATAGATCTCTATGATGGATTCACTTAGGTCAGAAATAAACTTGGGCTTTAAGTAAAATGTGTGAGCTGCATGGCATACAGTGGAGTTCTCTTGGACAGAGCAGCTGGGGAAGAGGTTGCCTACCTGACATGGTGTGCTGGTGGTATCTGACAAGCTACCTGCCCTGCTGAGGTTTTTCCACATCATTTGTGGGCACAGGAAGAGACAGCATTGCCTCTTAGGTTAAAATGAAATCTATGGGGTGATGAACAGTGTGGTCACCTCCACCATCCTCAGTGCAGGTACACGCTGCTGTACAGAAAGGAGACTCACTCCTTTCTTTCTCATGTCAGAGGGCTGGATTCCCTCCTCTTTGTAGCCTGTGGGCCCTTCTCTGGTTGCACAGCAAGAAACTGGATCTCTAAACCTTTTTTCATGCAAAATTTTTCACGGTACAATTTACATCAGTGAAACAGTACTTGCAGGTTTAAGTTTTTATTTATTTTTTTGTCTATGGGCCCTGTGTTCATAGTTCAGATGTGACCAAGCGTAACCTACCCTTCTCTATAATAGCATACAGGTTTTTACCAAGATAAGCTATTTAAGTTATTTAAGTGAATTGGAATACATGTTTGTGCAGCCAGAAATGAAGTGCAGTCATTTTTGTCATGTTAATGTAAATGGCAACTTGCCAAATAATTGAAACTTCTATTTGTAAAACAGTATGGATGTATTTTTCAAATCATGTGTTGAATGCCTTGATGTGAACTCTATTGAAATTATGTTTATTAAATGGCAGACCTAAAAATTATTTTTCATATTTTTCCCATATATTTTGCAGGAAGGTGGTAAATAAAACTGCTACTGAAGAGAACAAAATGTCAGACATTGGCATACATGCCACTGCTTTTCAAGTCTCTCCGAATAAAAACACTTTTGAGTTGTTGATTTGTTGATATCTATATTTTGATACCTCAAAAGCTCTTTGAGACATGAATGATTTCAAATAGGACAGTTTTTCCTAATGGAAAGTTATCTTTTGGCTTTGTCCTCACTATATTCTTGTTCAATAAATATATGTAAATACTATGTAAATACTATCAAATAATTATGTACAGTCTTTAGAACAGAGTAGAAAGAGCCTTATACAAAAAAGACCACCAGTCAAACTTCTCTACCAGTCGGTACATGTAAACATCTTGGAGCTCAGGTCTGTTTCCAACCTGATATGGATGGTTATCACATATCAATGGAACTTGAACAGTAGTTAAGTTTACATGATAGAAAATGATAACGTATCTGTATCAGTGGGGCAGAAGGGAACCCTCGGGGCGGTGTGCTCAGAGCTGCAGAGTGATAAGTGTTTAAACTGGAAACTTACACACCTGTTGACTTGTGACTGTGCTGTCAGAGCTGCAGCATTACCTTCAGGGGATCCTGTTATTCCCTCTGTTATTCCCTTCTTTCTCAGGCTCCTTCCAGTTGCTGCTGTAGATGACAGCTGATCATTCCAAGAGGCAGCAGTGGTTGGTAGGACTTGAGCAAAGCTACTATGCCTTCAGACAGCCTGTGGAGATCAGCTCTGGTAAGAGGAGAATGAATCACTCTAGATGTCAGGGTTGGCTGCAGAGTCTGGGCCCTCATACATGAGGGAGCAGCTTTCCTCTATTGTGGTACAGAATGAGGAGCCATTGTCCACAGCTTTCTAACTACTGCCTATTGTGAACCACCCTGGTGGATAAGAGTGTTTTAAAGCTTTAGTGTTTTTTATGCCCATCTAGAATATTTGAGGGAGGCCTGGTCTGGCAGATCTTTTGGCATCCAAGTGTTGCTCTTTGCTTTCATTTCCCACCAGTTTCCTTCTGTTATCGGTAAAGATGGCATTGCAGAGCTTTTGGGTGTTATCGTGTGATATCCTTGAAGTGACACTTTTCCTGCCTGTCAGGGGCAGAACCTTACGCAGTTTGTGAGCTTTTAATGCAAGAAAGCAGGCACACTTTTTTCTTCAACCTATTTGTTACATGCCTTGGAAAAACTGGATGTGGCCTTGCTTGTGGTAAACTCAGCACCCTGAAATCATATTGGCCCCTCACAGTTTCTTGTTGTGGCCTTAAAGTTCTTTGTAATCAACTTAAGATACAGAAAAAAAAAAAAAAAAACAACACAAATGTTATGTAAGTAATCAACATTTTCAGCATCTTAAGATTTCAAATATGGGTCTTACATAGGAGAGCTTAAAGAAACAAGGCAGCAAGAGATGAAAACATGGAGCAATTTATCAGATTAAAATGACTTATTTTTTTGGCTTTATGCCAAAGTGAGCCTCTTGCTCAAAACAAAGTTTCATGTCAGTATTCGAGCCTTCTAATTTGAACATTCATTTGGCCTTTTAATAATGCAGGGGACAAAAAAATACCCCCATCATGACTCCAGTTGCTCAATTTGGCTGGGGTTTCCCATTAGCTTCTTTCCCAGACTATTTATAGAATAGCAATTAAGATTAATGTATAGCTGCTCACATTTAGTTCCTGGCTCTACTGGGTTTTGAGCCACTCCCAACAAGACCTGAATGACTGAGGTATTTAGTGTCCATGAGAACTCCTGCTGAAATCAGCTGTAGCTATCTATCATGTAGATGTGTGTACCTTTAAATGTTTATTTTTTTTTGTATCATTAACTTTTTTCTGCTATGGCATGAAATTGTGAAGCTGGAGCTAGATAGGCAACATACTTCCCGGTTAATATATGGAAATATAATTTTTCAAAAAAAATATAATTTTTCAAAAGTTGTCTATTCATGTTAATGAATAGGAAATCTTTCAAATAAAAGAATTCATCATTACTCGCATCTACTCCTACTAATCCTTTTTAGGGTGTATGTTATTGATACAATTCAAGTGTCTTATACCAGCTATGAAACAGTAAAGTACAATGATCTATTTGTGATGTTCTTGGCTTCCAGCTTTTAAGGGTTGTGTATATGGTCTGAGAAGTAATTGGTATCAGTAGAAACAGCGTGCATTGAACAAGCATGGTCCAAGAACAGTATATACCATTTTGAGGAATGGACATTATTAACAAGTTTATGGATATCAAGTCCTCCTTTTAGTATCATAAATATCAGCAGTGCTCCTGTGCTGTACTTTGCATAGTGCTGGCTGATTGATCTGGGCTATGAGGACTGTCTCCATTTGTAGGATGCTGCTCATAGGCCTTGCATCAGAGACGGATGGATCGTGCTTATGAGAGCAACCAGCCAAAATAAATTGAGCAGTGTTCAATCCTGTTTTGCAAGCAGTTTAATAAGAGTGAATTTGAGGGTGGGGGTACAGTTTTGTCAGACCTCATCAGGTCAGGGAGACCTATAGGCACCAGTGTGCTAAGTCAGGCTTCTTTTCCTGGTGAGGAAGAGCAGAACTGTGCTAAAGGGAAGGATCCCATGGCTCAGATTACTATCTGAGCTAGACTTGACTCTCGGTGCATGTGACTGTTCAGAAATTGCAAAACATCATTTCTAAAAGGATACTGTGACAGATTGTGCTTGATATCATAAGGAGCTTACCTTTTGATTTGTGTCCCCTATATTAGAACAAATTGTGGTAAAGTAATGACTGCATGTATCACTAATATAGCTAGCTACAAGAAGTACCCCCAAATGAAAAAAATACAGCTTAATTTGTAACACGTTTCTATATATACAAGTATTAAGCTGGCAGAAAAAATGACTTTAGCTTGTTTTCCTATGTACCTCCATATTTACAACCCTACAATCTAAATGCTGGAACATCTTTTCTTTTCATTTTTTCCTCACTTGAAATAAACCACCTGAGCTGAGGTTGAGTCAGGGCCCTGCAAACAATATTCTTTTTAGTTGCACAAGGTTGATTCCTTCCCACAACTTGTTATTGGATGATGCAGGAATCCTATAGAAAGACAAATAGTTTGATCCTGTAATTTAAGCAGCATGTTTTAGTGGTATATGCACGTAAAATATGGATGTCTGAGCACAATAGTCCTATTTTTATTTTTGAATAATTAAGTTTAAGGTGTGTGTACTGGTTTTGGCTGGGATAGAGTTAATTTTCCTCCTAGTAGCTGGTACAATACTGTGTTTTGGGTTTAAGATGAGAATACTGCTGATAAAACATTGTTTTAATTGCTGCAGAGCAGTGCTTACACTAAATGAAGGACTTTTCAGCTTCTCACACTGCACTGCAAGGAGGAGGCTGGGGCTGCACAAGAAGCTAAGAGGGGACACAGCCAGAACAGCTGACCTAGAACGTACCATATGGTGTGCTCAGTTTAAAAAAAAAAGAAAAAAAAAAAGGGGAAATTTGTTGTTGGTCTTGGGGGTTGTTGTGGTGAGCAGTTGCCTTGTGCAGCACTCGAATATTTTTCCCCTTTTTTCCTTATTAAACCTTTTTTTTTTTTTCTTTCTTATTAAACTGTCTTGATATCAACTGAGTTCTTGCACTTTTATCACTTCTAATTCTCTCCACCATCCTGCTGGGAGGAGAGGGAATGAACAGGTGGCTGTGTGGTACTCACTTGTCTGCATATTAAACTGCAGATTTTTTTTTTAAATGCAGCGCTACGTGAAACTGTTTTAGTTACCAATTGCTGATACCACACTGACTTGAAAATAAAAAGTCATGTGTCGTACCTCAGAACTAGATAAGCTTCAAAATCTGTTAATTGGTGCAAGCACTACCCCTAGAATTATTTATCCTGTGCCAGACCAGCTTACTTGTCCAACTAACAGGCTCTCGGCACTGTTCCAGTGTCTCACAAAACAATGTCAACTGATTGATTTCTGGCTGTTTCAGAAAGTTTTCCAGTCTGAGGAGTCATCTCCACCCTGCAGGAAAACCCAGCATAATTCCCCAACGTTTAAATCAAACTATGCAAATAGCTGTCTTTCACTTCTTAAGCTAGTTACAGGACTTCTTGGTCTTCGGGGAATTATGTACAGCTTGTATCTAATTCCAATGGTACTGATGCAAGCATTAATTTGAAACAATTCAAGTAGCCTTACTGCTCCTTGCTCTGGTGGGCTGGCTAGAGAGAAAGAAATAAGGTAACATGCTGAGCTTGTCAAGTCAACTGGTCAGGTTTCAACCTGTTGTCTGTGGAGACAGAAGTGATAACATGGAGGTAATTCTCCCTTGTAGTAAGTCACTGTGAGCAGTATGATGTGGGGGAAACTTTTACAGCAAAGGGAAAAACCAATCTATGATTTTCCTTTTGAATAGGAAAATTCAAATCTGATTGCTCTGGTGGAGCTCTGACAATTGTTTCACTTTCTCCTCTATATAAGACCCAGAGGTTGCCCATGCTTTCCTGGGACTGGCACTAATAGTGACATATGCTTATTTTGGTTTGACTGAAGTGTCTGCAGAGACTTTGTCTCAGCCTGGGTGTGCTAGCTGGGTTAGGAGCTCTGACCCAGAAGTTCATACGCTTGCTTTTTCTTCCCCATTCAGAGGTGGTGTCTGCAAGACTTGGGCCAATTGTCTTAGCAAAGGATGCTGGCATCAAGAGTCTAGTGCCTATATACGCCAAGTTCAGTCTTTCTGTGCTCTGTGTTTTGTAGACTAGACCTAAGGGATAAAGTGCCTTTGCTTCCTCAGGAATGGCCTTGGAAAAGGACAAGATAAGGGAGCAGAGGGAGGTGAAAGGGGAAGGACATTCCTCTGAACAAGACTGCTGAAATACTACACTGAAGGTTTTTTTTTTTTTTTAGTTGCTACTGCTGATATGGTTGGGTAATTGGAGTCTGTGTACTCTGTCCTGTGTTAGTCTGGCTGCTTGGG